TATATATTACTATATACTATATATTACTAATATATATATATATATAAAGTAATATACTGCTTGTCTAGCATTCAAAAGAGCCTAGGTTCCATCCTGGAAACTGAAAAAAAACAATGGAAAAGTTTTCTGTAGAATAACCTGCTCTCTGCTGTACAGGGCAGGGCATCCTGCCTGCTGCATGTTTGAGTCTCCTGACTACATTAAGGAGCAGGAAGAACAGTTGATCTCTACCATCTAGGCCTGGCCTGTGTAAGGAATACAGAACACCCCACCCCCCACGATCATGTCCCTAATGACCTGATATACCTGATGACATACCATCTGTGACATATCACCTAATGACATGTCCCTGTCATTAAGTCACTTGATTAAAGCCAGGTATGGTGGTGCATGCCTTTAATCCCAGCACTCAGGAGGCAGAGGCAGAGGCAGGCAGATCACTGTGAGACTGAGTCCAGCCTGGTCTACATAGTTAGTTCCAGGTCAGTTGTGGCTACAGAGAGATCCTGTCTCAAAAAAAAAAAAAAAAAAAAAAAAGTTGAGTGAACCAAATCAGCAATGTGGTTTCTTTCTTTCTCCTTTAAAATTTTTTTCAATTTATTATTTTTATTTTATGTGTATGCATGTATTGCCTGAATGCAGGTAAGTGCACCTGTGTCATGCCATGCCTGAGAACAGAAGAGGCTGTCGGGTCCCCTGGAACTGGAGTTACGGACAGCTGTTAGCTGCCATGTGGGTGCTGGGATTAAAACCCAGGTTTTCTGCAACAACAGCCAGTGTTCTTAACCACTGAGCCATCTCTCCAGCCCAAATATTTATTTTTAATTTTCCAATTATGTGTATATGTATGTGTGGGTATGTACACATAAGTGCAGTGCCTGCAGAAGCCAGAAGAGGGCGTCAGATCACCTGGAGCTGGAATTAAAGCTGGTTATGAGTTGGTTGTAATATATCTGCTGCAAACTGAACACAGGTCCTCTACAAGAGCAGTCAGTGCTCTTAACCACTGAGCCATCTCTGCAGCTCTCTTTTTTTTTGAGACGTGGTGTCATGTAGCCTAGGCTGGCCTCCAGTTCTCTATATACCCTAAGTTGATGTCCTGATCCTCCTGCCTCTACTTCCAGCAGTGTGGGTTTTGTTTTGTTTTTTGTTTTTGTTTTTGTTTTGTTTTGTTTTGACCCCGAGAGCCTGACAAGGTCTCCAGAGACGCTAAGACTGAGAACTGTCAGAGGCTGGGGAGTCGGGGAGGAAGTCCTTCTTGTGTGGTACCGCATGGAAGACAGCTTGGGGAGGCAACCACGCGAGGATAGACAATTCTACATCACTTCATCCAACTTTTCATGTGTATTCTACGGATTGAACTTAGGTTGTCAGATTTGTGGGATAGGCGCTTTCCCTCCGCTGAGCTATCTCTCTGGCCCTGAAGTTACTCTTCTCTAAACAAAATGATCTGTCATTTCAGGTGACCAATATTCTTCCACAATAAACATTTTATCAAGTGTACTTTCCTATAACCATCATTCATAGTTCACAAAAATTAACGTTTTCAAGGCAGGCGATTAGGTTGGTTTTCTTCTTCATACCAGCACCTATACCCAGGCATGGTTAGTAGAAAGGGCAGACAGCTGATGAAGGAATAAACGTACAGCCCTGAGGGTGGCTTTGGAAGATGACTGTTTTGGTTTGACTCTGAAATGTCCCCACTCAGGCTCACGTTTTGAGCCCTTGGTCTTCAACAGAACCTCTGGAAAATGGGACCTAGTTGGAAGAAGGGGGCCGCTGGGGCCAGAGGGTACAACACAGCCCTGGCTGCCATAGTCCTGCTGCCACAGAAAAGGCCACCACTCCACAGAGCCCTCTGCCCCACCCTCCCCACCATGACAGTGATCAGGACAAGTCTTCCTCTCAGGTTTCTTCAGTAGGGTAGTCTATCATGGTAATGAAAAAATTAATTGCTACAATAATAAAGCAAACCTTTGTTCCAGGAGAGAGAGAAACTGAACAGGGCAACGATACAGAAACATTTCAGATTCCATTTAAGTTTGATGGCAGCTGGTGTTTTTAAACATCTCTTGTTTTTCCAGACAAAGGTTAAGAGCAATGGCTTTCTGGAACCCTCGGCTTCTCAAAGGCTCTCGCTTCGCCAGCTTCTCCATCAAAATGTGCTGTGGCAGGTGGTAGGCCCAGATTACAATGCCTCC